ACCAGAAAATTTCTTCATTTAATGAAGAAAATAGAAACAGCAACTGAACACAACAATGCGCCAATTCCGTTCCGCTTGGCATACTTCTGTAACGCACTTCCCGTAAATAAATATCCGCGAAATTCACCCGCCCTGAAATAATAGTTTGGCATGTTGGATAATAAATAACTTATTAGACGCTTTGTTGTGTAGCATCGCTGAGTATTTTTACTCATTATTTGCATTTTGACTTGCCCTACGGGCTCGTCAAAATACGGCACAACTCGTAAAAATACTCAGCAATACTACACCACAAAATGTCTAATAAGATATATATATGTAATGAGGAATTAGTTTGGATGTAGCACCATTTTTTACCAAATTTCAATAGTAAGAACCATTTTAGTAATGATGTTTGTTTGATGTTATAGAAAAATGACAGAATCTATAGACAGGAGATTTACCTTTGAAATCACTGCTGAAGAAAGGTAACCAATGATGTCAAGACCCCTATGGGTGCACTGCTTACTTCAAAGGCAGCAATTCATGGGTTGTATAGATGTTGTCAGTATTTAGAATTTACAAGAAAGCCATCAAAGTTTCACTAAAACATTTTGCTTTTGTTGATGTTTGTTTGGTTATTCATTCTCGATTGGTTTTTCTTTTGGAACAGAGCACAACCTATCTTGCTGCAAGCACAGAGTGAGGATGATAGAAAATCTTGGTTGGAAGCCATGGATGGGAAAGAACCTGTAAGTTTTTCTTATCAGAAATGTTTCGATTAAAACAAGTAAATATGCAATCATCAAGGCCGAGACATGCTAAATAACATGTGGCTATAACCTTTCGCAGAAACATTTTGTCTGGACAATTACCACTATATGACATGGAAAATCTTTGTAAAAATCTTTGTTTTCATGACAGAATGTGGCACTTCAATTGGTCACACACAAATTTTGAAGAAATTATCACAGTGACAAAATTTTGTCACAGAGATGAAGATTTTCTCAAAAAAATCACAGATTTTATGTGGGATGAATTGCCTTTATTTAGTGACTTGTTTTGGAAACAGGCAATGTAAAGCGGCTTTTTGTGCACATCAGTTACTGAGACTCACAATTTGGTGTGTCTCAGTCTTTACAATTGCATCAAAATAGTAGGTGTTCTGAGACGTGGTTTTAATTTAATCACTTCAATCCCTTTTTTTCATCTGTCTTATTTTCTCTTTTCAGTTGTATGAGGATTTTAATAACCTTCCCAAGCTTAAAGATGGTAAGCTTTTAAATCTTAGCTTAGTCCACAGTGTTTGTAGTGTTTCTTGCCTTTCAATAAATGTTCATTTTTTTAAGCAGTTGTACCATAACTATCCTCGATATCAGAGGTAAAATAGACTTTCTGTTGATATTTTCCAGAGGAAACTCGTGATCTTGAACTGACTTTTATCACCAAGTGTATTTCAGCAGTGGAAAAACGAGGTTTGTTTCAACTGATATATCAGTCCAAGAAAAGTGTATTTGAGGTTCTTCCAAGAGACACTACTGACCCAATTGTTAAGTCTACTTACAGCTACCTTAACCAACATCCCATAGCTCCTCTGATATAATCTCTGAGTGACACTTTCTTGTACTGGGACATGCTGGTAATCAGCTGTGGGCAGCATTACGCATAATGATTTACACACATCCTATGTTTTGAAGCTCTCAAAGAGGGAAATGTGCATGGCATCCCTGTAGCCTTTAAGTGTAGTTTTTAAGCAGTTGACTTTGCATTACTGTTTGTCATCTTTCATTGTGAACAGAGTATGTTGTCATTCATGTACAATACAAATCTAGTTATGTTTCAAATCACCATTAATTTTATCCAGGTACATGGATCCAGGATTTAGTGAAGGGGAGTTTGGAAAAGTGGAAAAGTGGACAATCCCAGGAGGGAGTCAGAGGGCATGCTCCAGCCAAGAATCTTGAAAAATGTTATTTGCATTGATATTAAGGGATAATAGTGAAAAAAAAAAAAACATAAAATTTTCATATGTTTAGACATTGTTCAGTTCGGTGTACAGGGTTTGACTGAGCCATTTGAACCACCCTGGGTCCACCTGTGGTCATGATACACCCCTTGTGATAGCCTTTCAAAATTTCTCCTGTAAGCCGCCAACCCCATAGTGGATGTTGTCAGCCTATGTATCTTCGGTGTTGAATAGACTCTTTCCTTGTGGAGGATTACATATTTTACAATGATTATTTTAGGTATAACAGATCAAGGTCTTTACAGAATTGTCGGTGTGGGTTCCAAGGTTCAGAATCTTTTGTTGCAATGTATTGAAAAAAAGAAGGCAAAGACCGTTGACCTTGCAGACCAGGAATGTGAATGGGAAGTGAAAACTATTACCAGTGCTCTTAAACAGTACTTGAGGTAAGTTTATGACAGGGTTTGAGGGTAGTGAACTTAGGCATTTCTGTGATGTTAGTTTCTTTGGTATAAAGTATGTTCTGATTACTGTGATTTAGAAGCTGGAGGCATTTTATGGTATTTTTTCTAGAATTGAAGTATTATGATATATAGAAACTATTAGTGTCAATAAACATATTGTTACTCATAGGAACATGCCAGAACCTTTGTTTACATATAGCTACCATGAACAGTTCCTGGAAGCAGTTAGTAAGTACAGAATACTGATTTTAAGACTTATTTGATGAATTACTAATTACATTTTTTTTGTACTTCACAATTGATACTACTTGTGATCAACAACAGTTTTCAGTTGAGTATTTACTACAGTTGAAAATTGACTATGGTTTAGCATGGTCTGTACTCTTATCGTAAACGATATTCGTGCGCCTCGTGAGTCCACAACGCTTTGACCACTGTCATGACGAATGTGTTTGTAGACAAGGGTACAGAACACGCTAAACCACAGTCTATTCACTCTTAACCACAATATCGACGTCAAATAAAACTATTCGTTCAGTTCGTGGCACGTTGCTTAACACGTTGACGAGAGGAGCGTTGTTGGTACTCTTATCGACAACGGCAAACCGGCCAATCAGATTGTGACATTACTACCAATTGTGGTAAAATGTGTGCTTTATTCTGCCCTCCAAATTGGTCTTTAAAAAAACCCTGCTCCACTCTCTAAACAGTGAGATGCAAAATTAAATCAGAGACAAATTAGTTATTAATGTTTTCACTGTGCTTTAGGTCAGTTTACTATTTTCGCTCCCTATCTCATTTTTTCCCTTATGGTGTTTTAACCTCAGTCTAACTGGTCTTTGTGTTACTTTGATTTTAGCTTAACACTAATCTGTCCGTATGTGCTCTTAGGAAACCTGTTATTTCTAAAAAGTATGATATTTTTTTCGCAGAAAAAGATACATTTGAGAAGCGAGTCGAAGCCTTGAGGTGCCTCGTGGATAATTTACCAGAGGAAAACAGGAAGTTAATCAGAATGATAATGAAGCACTTGACGCAGTAAGAGGCACATTTTTTGTTTAAAATTTATTTTTTTTTGAATGTGACGATGATGGAGTGTCAGCTAAGTCTTTATACAATTTTCATCACATCCTTTGTTAATTTGCTTGCATTACTCAATCGCTGACGCTTTCTTAAAGTCATTAAACATAAGCTCAAAAAGAGACAAGGTTTTTTTAAAAGTTTACACTTAAATAATACTAACGAATTTCCAATTTTGCTTAGCTATACCCTTGTTTGTGATTTTTGTAATTGAGCCCGCCAATTTGAGGTTATTTGAATCGCTTGTTGGTCATTCTCTTACATTCATGAACTGTCTAAAGGAGTACTTCATCCAGTGATTTTTTCGCGGCAGAGTTGCAGCTCATTCCAATAGGAACTTAATGGCGGCAAGTAATCTTGGAGTAGTGTTTGGTCCAACATTGATGAAATCTAGAGAGGAATCCATGGCTGCAATCATGAATTTGAAATACCAGAGTGTTGTTATTGAGCTGCTTATCAAGGAGTTTAACACAGTAAGTAACGGAGAGAGTTTTTTCTTTAATTTTTGAAAAAGTATCGAAATTTGTCAAGTTCTTTTCCAGACTTGGAAAAATGAACGATTGAGTTAAAAAAAGAAAAAGAAAATAAAAATGAAGGAAGTCTGGAATTTTTGCTAAGCTGTATTAGTTGCTATATTTGTGGGTGGGATCTTTGGAAAGAAGATGAATTGACATAAATCGTGTCGATCAGAATGTCATGAAATGAAAAATGTGAACCTTCTTTCATTCTTCTCGGCCTTTCTCGCAGATTTTTGGGCCCGATCCCAGTCCGGATTCAGGGGAAGACTCAACTGATTCGTCTCCAAATGCAGTGGAGAACAACACAGGGAATCCCTTCTTAGATGAAAAGGAGAATAATTCTACAGCAGTCTATGAAAAGCCTAAGCCTCTCCCCAAGAAGAGAAACAGTGATGAGATAAGTGCCAAATCAAATGAAGCCAAACCTGCTACACCTTCCAAGCCCCTACCCCTCCCCACTAAAGGCTACCGTGCCCCACCCCCTCCAAGCAAACCAGCTCCGTATTCGAGGCCGAAAGTCAAAGCCATTGTCGTGGCAGGTGAGTTGCTTTTAAACAATTATAATATTGAATAGGTCACGTCTCTTCCTCAGTCGTTCGTTGGGATGTCACAAAACGCTCCGTTGCGTTAAGAACGGCTGTGAGGGAGTCTACGTTATCGATTGCTGTTTTCGGTTTTTAGAGAGTTTTTGTGTACCGAGGCCACGTTTAAAGCAAGGAAAGGAAAAAGGTCGAAATCTCACCAACTTGATCGTACCCGGAAGCGTGGTCAGTAAATAATTCCTTAGATGCCAAAATTATTACACCGGAGAATTTCGCTTTTTGTGGGAACAAATTGAGAAATCCAGAGCGACTGAGTGGGCCCATCTTTCTCGCACGGGTAGCTAGCCATAGAACGAATTTTGTTATCTGTTTTGCGGGATTCGCTTTCCATACAGACAATTAATGTTAGGTTCTTGTTCTATGTCAGATTCCGAGGACGATCCCAGCAGTTTGTCTGATTCGTCAAGTGCAAATTCAACCCCTCAGAGCGAAGGGAAAGGGCCGCTATCGCCGAGGGATTTTTGGAGAGAAAAGACTGGTAAGTTGACAGGGGTGAAAGAAGAAAGGGACGCGTGGAAAGCATTTACTATACAGGAGCTTTCAAATGAGAATTTTGTTCTTATATTGTTGACATCGGCAACTGCTTACGTCATTAGAACAACTTCTCGGCGTCGAAGCCTTCTTCTCTGTTTAATTCTTTTTTCTGTTTTCATTCAGCAAATAAACCAGTACCTCCTCCGAAGAAACCTGAAGTAATGTAAGTACAACTCACTATGAGGCGAAGATTCTTTTACCATGCTTTGTTTGTCTGTTTGTTTGTTTGTTTGTTTGTTTGTGATTGGAACAGGGGTTCCTTTGCTGCAATACCATGCAAGGGCTTCGTGTTGTTATTTGGCCGAAAAAGTGTAGTCCTTTTGTACCCCGCTTTACTCAATAGGAAAGCTATGTACCAACAAAATGTCAGGGAAACTACTCTCTGTGAATTTTTAATGCGATGGTTTAGCTTCCCATTTAGGTGATGCAGCAATATTCCTTGATACGAAAGCAAATTCTCATGATAATCACCTTGGAGAATTAGTTGTTAGATCTTTGTGAGTCATAGAGAAGTATGGACGAGACCTTCAGACCATGGTGAAAGTTACCGCCACAGGAGATTGAATTTAAGTATTAAGAGTGCACTGAAACTTCTAATACAATCACCAATTTGATAGTAAAAGATCTCGAGCGCGGATCTAGTGATGGTTAAGACTCAAGAATGTCCCTTGTTATTTTACTTCGATTGATACCGGCAGGATCGGTGTTTTGATTTCATTTTGCTGTTTGATTTAATTTTATAATTTGCATATATCAACAAAGTTGAAGTGGTAAATTGGCTACCGTAACGAGTACAAAAGCTGACGTTTTGATTACATTTTAATGCTTTAACTGCATGCCGTACGTAGTGTTATATTTTGTGTTTGCTTGAAGCTTTTATTTTGCTTGTTTATTTTAGCGCTGAGTTTAAGAACAGAGTTGAAGGCTTTTCAAGACCTTTTTCTATGATCGATCCCATGTAAGTTTTGTTTATCCCCTTTTCAACTTCCTCCAAATATTTGTTGTCGTCTCCAGCGGAAACAGATTGGTTTGTTTTACTTATCTCTCCGAGATGTTACTGTTATTTTCAACTTTTAACCAGAATTGGCACTTCTGTTCACCACATGTGTCTGTTTCTGACCGTAAGAGTCATGGAATAATTATTTCTTGTGTTACAGCGTTACATTTTTCACGTAGTCTTGAAGAGCTGCCCATTTTGTTACCCCTTGCACCAGTGATGGTGTTTTCGCTGCTGTAATTTGTTTTATTTTGTTCATATGCCGCATGTTTTGTTCTGTTCACATATGTTTACATCGCAGTCAGCCGACGCATATATAGTTCTTACTTCACGAATATATGTCATAAATGTGAGTGCGGTAGGGGAGGGACTCAACGAATTTGTGTGTGTTTGTGTGGGAGGTGGGGATGGGGATGCCTTGTGAGTCCCAAACCCCTACCCATCGAAATATGACTTAAAGGTCAAAAGCTACTCCTTTCATGTATCTTCCTAGAATATTTACAATTATCTGGCCTACGAGGAACCAAATGTCAGTCATGATTCGCTTGATTAACCTCTTGGATCTGCTCGGATACCTTTTTAGATACATCAATGTCCATGTGCTCATTCCCCCCCTCCCCCCCACACCCCTTCTTAAGTGAGCTCTGTTTGTTACGCGTGATACTTTTTTCTTCTTCAGGAATGACAAGGAAAAGGAGAAGTTTCCTGGTATTCGCCGTGTTAGCAGCCAAGGGGGAAGCCTTAACAGGGGGATGCAGTCTTGGGGGACGGGGCCTCCCCCTCTCCCTAAGGAACCCCCGCCAAAGGATGAACCGAAGCCAACTCCAGCTACCAAAACACCAAAGTGAGACCGCTAGTCTTTAGTAGAAATGGGAGATCTTTAGTTTCAGAAGATGTGTTTCTTTTAACCATTCGGTTATAACCCAGTGATTTCTTGATATCATAGGAAAGTCAGGACATTGTATCCCTGTGTAGCGGAAAACAGTTCGGAGCTTTCGTTCGATGCTGGTACGCTTATTTTAAATGGTAAGCGAAACCTTACTTATTTGTTTCTCAAATTGGACTTCAGTACATCCCGCATTTTTGGTAATCTTACATACGCGTTTGCTGACTTCGCTCGAGAGCTTGTTTGAGTGTTAAATTGCCATAAAATCCTGAACAAAGACTGGGGGGATTTGCGAGGACTTAAATCACTCTGGGTAGGGTAGGGTCTACACTTGGTGAGGCAAGTAAGTCGTATTAAGACCGCTTCGAGTCAACTTGTGACACGAAAGGTATCTTGAAATGAAACCCCTAGCGTTGACTGTGAAGGGAAAGATCAGACTTTTTAGGCCGTCCAGTTCACAAGGTTAATCGGCGTAAGGTTTTCCCCTTTTCACGATACTTCACGGAACAGTATACCCATTTTGATGTGTCCTACGAGTTCTGATTGTAGTATGAATGCAGTTTATACATGGAACAATGAAGTCAGAGTAGGAGCGGAGATTTACATGTGGGGATACTTGGAAAGGCAAACCATTTTTGAGGGGGTGGAAGGGTGGATGATCATATAGATAGGATTTATAATAAGGTTGTCATGGTAATTTGCTTCATAACGCCTTGCATTTTTTTGTCAACAGTGCGCCCCTCAAAAGAACCTGGCTGGCTTGAGGGAACCCTGAACGGAAGGACAGGTCTTGTTCCAGAAAATTACGTCGAAACTATCACATAACTGGCTTTTTAACATATCAGAGATTTAGGATATTTTAATTGGTAATCAAGGAAAGAGAATTTCTTCCAAAAAAATCGTTTGCGGCATTAAATTTAATTATCAATTTCTACTTCAACGCCAACTGAAATGGAAGAGATATTCGTTAGAATGAGATAGCCATGCAGAGTTCAAAGATATCTTGAGTAGCCAGACAGACGGAAGGCGTGGAAAATTTGTCGTCAATTTTTTGACACGGAAGTGGATATGCAAGTGTTTGTAGCGTGAAAAGTCACGTGCACAGCGCGGCCCGATTGGTTACAGAGTACTCCACGTGAACGAAGTAAGATCGGTGAAATCTTCCCTTCTCCCATGGAGAGGCAAACGAGCTCAAAGAATTATGAGGATTGTTGTTGCTGGAATGCTGAAACCGCGATTGGTTAATATTTTAGACAACGGATTATTAAGAAAACGATTTGCGAATCTACTCACTATTTTTTGTCAACCATTTTTTTACGTTGCTGGTCAACTGATTTTTGTTTGAGTCTAGACTAGGTTTTCGACAGCTAGAATGCCGAAACTCCAGCAGTGTGCTCTGCAGGACGCAGGAACATCCCTCCACCTTAACTTTCATCTCGAAAGTTGAGACATAACGCGCACTTGCAACGGCACGCACTGTGTATTGTTTGTCATCATGTCTTTTTTTTTTTCTATAAATTCGAAAAGTCATTTTTAAAATAGAAGTAAATAGATAAGCGTTCGGAAGGGGTGATGCAAGATGTCCGTCATAAGAAGAGAATTGTTAAACTTTGCTTAATTGAGGTTATCTGAGGTGAAATTTTATGCACGTAATTTCAGCCTCTGAACTTAACATGATATTCTTGAATTCTTTACAGTTTCTGTTCTTATTGGACGACGATCTGGCGTGATTTTGAGTCAAAAAAGGGTGACCCTTATATCCGTTACTTGACATTATTCATTCTTGACACGGTTACATCGTGTGCTACCCCTAACCCCTAGTAAGTCCTCTTTTGGAACGCAGTTGCTCTAAGCTTCTTGTAGAGTTGAATGATATGAAACAAGACATAAAGGATTTTAAAGGTCTTGGAAAGTATTTCAATTTACTCTGTTGGTCTGATTGAAATCAAGGTTTTAAATCCTTAGAATTTGTGTTGGTTATTCTGATTATAATGGGGAGCTGGCTTCTTGTGCTAATCAGTGAGGAGTTCCTTGCGTGATACTTGACATCACTTCAGTGAAGTCACGTAATACGTTGAGATTGTGGTTGGTAGTCACTGGTGCCTTGTCGTTGTAGGACTGTTCGAAAATGTCTGAATAATTCAAGCTAGTTTTGTACAAAAATTGGCCAACTCACGGGTTTTACTTGGCTAGCTGTGATTAAAGCAACAAAGAAAACGGCAAGTAAAAGATTAGTAAGCTTGCTAGGCAGTAAACTTGACTTGTACAACAATTAAACATTTCTGATTATATTGCGAATATGTAGGAAAAATGAAAGAAAATATATTACAAATCTCTTTTACTGTATCTTTTGTGTGGTTTATGTCTCGTAACGAAGGTTCAATTTAAATTAAAGGAGACCCAGTCAAATAGGAAGAGGGGGGGGGGGGGAAGGTCTCCTCATCACTCCTTAAGCCTGGAACACAAGAAGGGTTTGCTATCAGGTTATGCTCCATAAGCATGCCGCCAAGGCAAGGCCCTGTTTTTACGGACGACTTTATGGCTCTAATGCATGCTGGGGAGTAGTAGTTCCACTCAAAGCTCTTTAAGATTTATGGGCATGGATACCGGACAAGGATACAGAACATGAACTGGGCCCAGGCCTCCCCTTCTGGTAGAGGGAGTCGCGAGGTTACAAATTATCGTAGCCATATTACACCCAAAGGATTTAATGATCAATAGTTTGCTTAAAAATTCTAGCAATAATGCCCACCGGAAAAAAGACAGTGCACTTTGTCCGTCACTGTCAATCTACATGGAACGAAGCACAGAATGTTTTCAAAATTCCTCGCGAAGATCTGCAGTCTGAAGCTTACCTAGACTGTCCATTAAGTCCTTTTGGTGAAGAACAAGTTACCACCATACAGTCGAAAGTAAAGGCTTTGAACGCCGAGATCGCCATAACCTCCCCGTTTAGGCGAGCCATTCAGACATGTCTTGGATCTTATGGTGGCCAGAATGTTGTTGTTTCTCACTGGTGTGGAGAAAGAGGAGAATCTTTATGCGACATAGGAAATACTCGAGACAGCCTCGAAAAAATGTATCCAACGCTGGATTTTAGCGAGCTGCCTCCGAACGTTTGGTGGTATGTAGAAGAAAATTTAAGAGATCAGCTTACAGGTCAGAGAAATTGCTACGAATGGCTGTTGAACAACGGAACCTTTCTCATGGGGGAAACAGATGACTATTTTCAGCAAAGACTGGAACGTTTTCATACGTTTCTTCAAAGTCGCAGCGAGACAAACATCGTGGTATTCTCACATAGCATGTTTCTGAGGAACTTTCTTAACAAATATTTCGAGCGTCCACTAACACAGTACCTTCCAAATGGGTCCATAACTACTTATACTTTATAAAAAAAAAAAAAAAGCAACGAAACGGGAGCACATTTATGGCGCCCGTTTATCGAATTATTTACTTACTTGTTCTCCTCAGGTATTTATTTCTTTTGTGCATATTTTATAAAGTGTTGACGAAACGTGACAGTATTCAATTGAATAAACGAGGCGAGTTTGTAAAGAAACTGGTGCTGCGTCGGTGGGGGTAACAAAGTAATTTAGTTATATCAACTAAGTTGAAACTGTAAATTGGCTACCGTAGAGTTAAAAAGCTTACGTTTCGAGCGCTAGCCACTCGTCAGAGCGAATGACGAAGGGCTAACGCTCGAAACGGCAGCTTTTTAACCCCTTACGGTGGTCAATTTACAATTTCAACTTAGTTGATATAACCCAATTACCTTAGTATATAATTGATCCTACCTCCAATTTAGATTGAGTCGATAGGAGAAAAATGAAAGTGGTAAATTTAAGAATGCACTCTCTTTGATAGCATATAATAATTTAAGCATCCACACTGATAAATCACCATTGAGTCTACCAAATAGCATGTGACTTAATCAAGGGAACACAAGCAAACGATGTGAAGCATGTACATGAGTAAAGAAAGATCTTGTAGCCTGAAATTGGAACCAGAATATGTAAACAATAGCCTCCACTTGGAGTGAAATATTTAACATTTATTCCACAAACGTGCATTGGATATGGGATGATAGATAGTCAATGAGGTGCCTAGCACTGAGTTGGCCATAATCATCTCATATCCAACAAGCGCGAGTGGAATAATTGATTTATTAGAAAAAAATGCCCCCAAGATATTACCCAAATCTTCTCGACTTTATTTTGTAAGAAGAAACCAGATGTTACAATGTACAGATATTAGATTATGGTATATTGGCTCGTATACCATAATGGCTGAGCCAATAAAAAGTCTTGAATTGCATTATCCAATGACCCAGTTTTTAATAAACTAGCATATTTTGGGGTTAAATGGAGGCTTTGTGTTTATTATCCTTAAAATACATTTTTAATGTGCAGGAAAAATGTTTATAAACAGCATACGGTTTATGGCATAGCATATTCACTTTTCAGTGTTCTGTGATACGATTGTACGAACCAAACAAACATGTGTCTTCTTCTGTGACAACCACACAACACTTTCTCATCTCAGTTTTCTGTATTGCATGCAAGGTTTGAAACCTGGGGAATATCACTGGGGGTATCCCTCAGCTAACCCTGGGGAATATTTGGTTACATGATGTGTTTTGACCAGTCACACACAAGTGAATATATTTGTTAAATTAAAAAATTTACACAGCCTACTTTGCCCCTATTGTCTGTATCATTGTCATCCATTGGAGATTACAAGCTGGTGTAAGGAAGGGAAAAGTTAAGTTGAATCCCCAAAGAGTCCCATAAGATACCAGGAAAGATAGAAATTATTGAAGTTAAGGGTAGCTACTCTTTCTGACCTGACACACCAACATAACCTGTCTTCCCCATCAAAGTTATAATAAAATGGTTGCTTACTCAGCTGAAATTCCAACTTTCTTTCCCTTACAAATTTAACTCTAAAGGCCTCTCCTTCCACTGTCATCCATGCTGTGGATGCTTTTCAGCCCCTTTGGAGTTGTGAGTGTTATCACAAGATAGCAGTCCACAATGACTTTACAAGTTTACATAGTCTGTTATTCTATTGGTACAAAAGAAGAGAAAAAAAATAAAGGAAAGCCTTCCTGACTCCTCTGGTTCATTTTTCTTGCACCTCCCCCCTTCTTCCCTGCCCTATTATAAATGAAAAGATGCAGTCTTAAAAGTTATTTGATATTTTATTGATGGCAGTATGTACTGGCCTCTATCACACTATATAGATACTAATGATTTGATCACATGATGTACCATTCTTTAGCATTCAGAAATACTCTCTGAGGTCACTGCACTCATTTTATAAAAATATACCAGTTGAACAAGGTGGAGGAAAACTGGGACAATTCTCATATCATACCTGTAATAATTTATAATGAGTAATAATTCCATGATAAGATTAAATGATGGCCAGATTTGGTCAGATTACAGCAATCATACAATAGACTTCTATTAACAAAATTTACATTAGCATACAGAAATATCCTTATTAAAAAGCAAGGCTAGAAAGAGGCACATTTGTGAAGTTTGTTAAGCCTTAATTCTTTAACTCCTGAGTGTGACCAGTAGTTAATTTCTCCTTAGGGCATCAATGCATTATCAAACAGAAAGGCCACGAGAATGAAGAGAAAAATTGACTAAGAGATAATGCTTTATTTTCCTTGAAATTTTCAGATCACAGCTAGTATGTAAAGAAAGAGAAGAAAAACAGATAGCGAGGGAAATTTATGAAGAGATCTTGGGAGTGAATAGATCTTGAAAAAAACATTCTCAAACAATACGTCTTGCAATATTAACACTCAAAGACAGAAAGAGTGAGGTACAAAAAATATGCCAACTACAGAACAACCAATATAAAGTTAAGTGTTCCTGTAATCTTGTTATAAATTAGAAGGAAAAAACAGGTGTCTGTCCATGTTAGTGAGAATAAAATAGTTGAAGGACACAAAAACAAAATGAATAAAAACAGTCATACAGTTCACTTTGTTAGTAATCCTTTCAATTTATCTTTCTGTGCATCACATGGGTGGTAAATTTTATAAATCTTCTCTTTCAAAGGTAAATTCCTCTCTCATATGAGAAATGTGTATGGTTTAGCTTCAACTACAGCAGTCAACTATATTAATTGGCTAAGCATAATAAACTACTGTTACAATCAACTTTCTTTACAGACTAAAGTTTTTCCAAACTTTAGAAAGATTTTGTAAAAACTAATGCCACCTAAGCTATCATCTGTTTGTGATTTTACGTCTTGTTCTCACGTTTTTCTTCACAATTGCCCTGATTGGTTTTTGTAGATTCTTTGCTTTAAATTTGCCTTACAATCGAAAACACTCTTTCCAAACTTGACACCAATATTGTCACGTGTTCGTCCCACGCTCTTGAACGGTAGTCACGTGATGTCGTTGGGGCTGAGCGGTACACTGACGTCACGTTTGCGTTTCTCTGACGTTGTCTTCGATTTCAGCAATTGGTGGCAAATGTTGAACTTGACTGACAGGGTGGAGCCAAGACGTTTGCTGTGTCACATGACTACAAGACAACAGAAAGGCAGAAAGTTAGTGACGGCCATGAAGAAAAAACAAGTTTTGTGTATCTTGAGATCCGTTAAAATCTTCTCGGTCATCAGCCATGTTTTTCCCTCCTGGTCTACTCATGTCCCTTGTTTTTCTCTTTTTTCATCTTACCGCGCTAATCAACAATAATTATTATAAACTGGATCATTGGATAATGCAATTCAAGACTTTTATTGGCTTAGCCATCACGGTATATGAGCCAATATACCATAATCTACAAATATGGTAAGCGTACGCGTCAGTTTAAAATTAAAAGGGAGCTAAAAACTCCGGTTTCTTCTCAGAAAATAATAATTTCTTGAGGGCGTTTTTACTAAAACAATTATTCCACGAGCGCGCGTTGGATACGAGATGATAGATAGCCAAGGCGTAGCGCCGAGTTGGCTATAATCATCTCGTATCCAACAAGCACGAGTGGAATAATTGTTTTATTAAAAAAAACGCCCCCAAGATATTAGACAAATCTTCTCGACTTTATTTTGTAAGAAGAAACCGCATGTTACAAAGTACAGATATTAGATTATCCTATATTGGCTCATAAACCATAATGGCTATGCCAATAAAAAGTCTTGAATTGCATTATCCAATGATCCAGTTTATAATAATATCTACTTGCCTGCCTCGATCTGAAAGTAGCTGCGTGGGTTGCAAAAAATGGCTAACATTTTCGCAAAGTAGCAACACTGATTTCGTTTTAACTTCAGTACGCTATGACTTTCTCGTCGAGGCTACTGACGTAAAACATGGACGTGGGGGATGAACTCGCTGTTTTATTAATATATCTCCTGAGTGGATCAGAATCTCACTAAAACACTACCAGAGATGCTAAAATGAGAGGGTCTGAATATAATTTTGAGCGAGTATATGTGCAGATCTGTGGAACGATGGCGCGGAAAATTTCAGTATCTCCGTCCAGCTTGTCTGAGGAAAAGCTTGTTTCTATCATTAAGGGTTTTTTGACGGGCATCGAAATACTCACACAGTTTGAGTTGAAAAAAAAAAAAATCACTGTCTAGTCGCAAAACACGGCAAAGTAGTTCTATGGTGTTGGTTGAGATGAAAAAAGATATGATACCGTTTAGCATACCGCCTCGTTCTAAAGGGTGTCTGGTCTTTTCGTCCGAGTGTCTTTTCGTCCAAGTCTTTTCGTCCAATGGTCTTTTCGTCCAAAAGTATTTTAACCTAAGTCTGTTCGTTTACTTGTTAAGCCTTTTCTCGAAGCAAATAAATAACTTTTAGAAGGCTAGATATATATAAGGCTATAGAAAGAACTTGTTGCGAGCCGCCGCCATTTTGGTACCGATACCTTTAGTCACCAGTCTTCGTTTACGGATTCAACGTCAAGAATTTTACGATAAATACACAGAGAATGAACGAAGTTGTAACGGAATATACTTCATCAAATAGTGGCAAAAGTAAAGACTTGCTTGCCGTTTAATTATTTCACGCGAAATAAATGGGAATATTAGGCGTCTACTGAGCGTAAAAGGGCAACGAAGTGTAACATCACTACGCAAACGGCTCGCAACAAGTTCTTTCTATAGCCTCATCTGGCCTTCTAAAAGTTATTTATTTGCTTCGAGAAAAGACTTCACAAGTAAACGAACAGACTTAAGTGAAAATACTTTTGGACGAAAAGACTTCTGGACGAAAAGACTTCTGGACGAAAAGACTTCTGGACGAAAAGACTTCTGGACGAAAAGACCGTAATTCTTCTAAAGTACTTACTTGATATAATATCTGACACCATCTGTCGTGAAGGCTTCCTCCCATCCAAACGGAAGGGCTGTTCAAATAGATAGAAACATAAATTTGAACTCTAAGAATAATTAGGAACTAATCTTCAGCTGAAATGATGTCGAGTTTGGGAGATAATGGTCGGACTTTCCTTAAATCATTTTCAAGTCTATGATAGTAAACACGCAGAAACACTCAAACCGGCTTATTTATTTTAGCATACATGTAAACTAAAACGGTGGATGGCGTTGAAGGCGCGCTCTGAATAGAAACTCAAACTCCGAATGTCCTTTGCTATCAACTACGAGCAATGCGGGCGGGATTTGCCACCGAAGATATTGAATATTGTCCCCACTACCCGACCCACGAGTTTTCAAGGGAGGGGTAGGTAGCATGATGGTTGGTATCGGTCGAAAAATTAATACACTTCAGAAATTTCATGACTGATTCAGTAAAACAATTTTACAAGCATTTACGTATTTGTGCACGATCCTCGTAGTAAAGAGCACTATTTAAGGAATAGTGAAAATCAGACCTGAAAAAATCCAGGCCTGTACGGGATTCGAACCACTGACCTCTGCGATACTAGTGCAGCGCTCTAGCTAATAAGCCAACCCAGTTAGCTCAATTGGTAGAGCGCTGCGCTAGTATCGCAGAGGTTAGTGGTTCGAATCCCGTACAGGCCTGAATTTTTTCAGGTCTGATTTTCACTGTTGCTCAAATAGTGCTCTTTACTGCGAGGATCGTGCACAAATACGTTTCTATAACCGCAGTTCAGATATATGAATTTCATACATTCGTTGTGTTTACAAGCATTTGTTTAGAGATACTTTTTGTTATCTGGTAGTTTCTTCAGGTGTCTCGTGCTAAACACTTCATCTGTTAACAGATGAAGGGGTTTCAGCCCGAAGCACTGCTCATCTTAAGGCACTTTTTGAATCACGTGTAGTTCAGTAATGATAACTTACGTTCCAGACCCTCCCTCTGACAGAGTTTCATGGACCAACTGAAGAAACAAAACAGAAACCAAGTAGGACAATAAATCAGTGAGTCAATCCAAACGATTTCATCAATAAATCAATTAAACAAAAATCAACCGATCGATTGAACGATCAATTAATTAAATAAATAGCAATCAATCGATTGATCAATCGTTCGATCAATAAATCAAGCAATCGATCAATCGTTCATTTGATCAACTGGTCGATCGATCAGTTGATAAATAAATCAATCCATAATTTAAACAAACACTCAATCAAATAATCAATTACTTAGTCAAACAATCAATCAGACAATTCGTTCTCGTGCCAAAAATCTTAAGGCTACGACTACTACTACTACATATGCCTTGGCAAAGTTTTGAAGTTGGACCGAAAGGCAATAACCAAGTGCTCCAGGAACGCAATGACAGTCAAGTTCACTTAATTTTTCTATTAACAATACACTTAAAAAAAAAAAAAAAGATAAGAAGAAGTCATCGTACCTCAGCGAAGTGAATCAGTTTGTCAGTGGCTACTTCGTAAGTTCGTTTACCAACTTCGGCTTTCCGAAGTTGGCACCCAAGAACAACCAGTCTTTTCTGCAACTCTTGGAGATCCTTCTACAATAGAAAAAATCGCCTTGTACTAAGCACCTTACAGAAATATGAATTTAAATCCAAGTATAAAGAAATGAAAATACAGCAACCTATTTGCTTATGGGTTCACTCACCACATCAGGATTTGGTTCCGCCTGTTTCGCTTTATATGTATCCAGTTCTTTCTCTAGAAGTCTTATTACCTGTAAAGAAAAGAGTATTTTTTGTTGTTAATACATTTTACTTGCAAAAAAATAATCGCGACCGAAAAAAAATACCGCAACAGAAAGCCCAAAATTATCTAATCAGAGAACGCAGATTCACTGACAGTCCAAGGCGCGAGAAAATGTGACTCGCGCAAATGATCTGATGTAAGAGATGTGATTGGTCACTATTTCAGGGATTTGAATGAATTTTTTGAGGTATGGCGTCTCCAGTGGGAGCAACTTGAAAGCAATATCAAGCTGACTCATGGATGAGAGAAGCTTTTCGAAAATTTGAAATATCACATGACAAAATTTTCCGTTAGATATTCTTGTGTTTTCAAGCGCGAGATTCAGCGTGGCGAATTTTCCGTCGGCATATCGGACGGGTGGAAGATCTGGGACGAGTGACAAAGCGAGGGGAAGGGGGCAGGGAAGAATGAATGAAGCATGAAAGAGCACTTGGGGGGGGGGAGGAGGAGTTAAAAAATTGTGACGCCACTGCAATCCTTTACCTCCTCATAGTCTTGTTCTACATCCTTGGCTGCTTTTTGAGCTTCAGATGCCAGATGAACTTTCTTCTCAAGCGATCTACTTTCTTCTAACAGACCTTCTGCATCCTGTTTAAAGAAAACACTGTTTCATAACTTTACGGACAATGGCGTGCAACATTTCCTACGCGTGATATGTGACGAGGAAAATTCTACGACAAAGCGTGACAACGTATGTCACGTAATCACTAACTAATTCTAAAATACAGTCAAACTTCCCGTAAGCGACCACCCAATATGTAAAGTCTAGGTGGTCGCTTACGCGAGGCGGTCGCTCACCAGAGGCCCGACCACAGGGAGTCCATATTTTGGGTGCCACCGCTACCGCTTGTTGAAAACTTAAAGTAATAACTTTGAACACCTTATTCAAGGTAAAAAAATCTTAGAACCTATGATCATGATTGTTTTGTATTTCGGGAAACACTTCCAGTAACTCCACTTTTATGACATCTGTTGAAACAATTTTCAGTTTCCGCTCGTGAGAGATAAAGCCGATTGTCTGTCAAGTGGCCGCCTACGGGACGTTAAAAGCAACTAAAAATGTGAACGAGCATCTCTAAAAGTGGTCGCTTCTGAGAGGTTCCATTGATAGTGAATTGACTTGGAAACTTTTGGTATCGCTAATGAGGGGTGGTCGCTTTCGAGGGGCGGTCGCAAAGGGAAGTTCGACTGTACCAACGATTACGTCAGAAAGGAATACAGTCCCAAGCGGGACTCAGAATATTTCCTTGTCCCACGGTGCTAATATTTCTTACATGAAGGAATTCTTTCTCACCCTTCGTGCTTTCATAAGTTCTTCCTCTGCCGTTAGACAATCTTTCTCCTTCTTCTTTAGTAATTTCTTGAGGTGTTGCACTTCACGCAAGGCTTCGTCTCTTTCTCTTCGTATCCGCTGAGCATCTTCAGCATTCTGCTTTGCCATTGCCTCTAATGAAGCAAGCTGTGATCGTTGCTGCATCTACGGACAGACGAAGAAGCGGACGTTTAATACTGTGATATCGCGAGTGAAGGAAATTAAACCGCCTGAGGCAAGAACAAAAAAATGGGTTTATCTTTTTAACAGCTAACGCCCTTGTAATGAGTTTCCGAGTATTGAGACCTAGCGCAACCTTTTATATATTCTGAATTTTTACACCGTTTCTTTCGCTTTTAGGAGAAGCAAAATTTGCGATCGATAAAGAAACACATCGGTAAATCCACTTCAAGGTAAAACAGATGCGTCAAATGGGTTACAGTCGCTTTAGGAAGCTTTTTAGGAAGCAGAGTAAAATTTGTCAGTTCTTCAGAGATTACCAAAAATTTTAAGATTGAGTAACTCCCTCATTAATGGACCAGTTTTGCCTAAATTTCGTTGAAATTAGTACATAATTCTCAAAATATGAGATATTTCCTAAGAAACCTTTTCATATGATTCCGTTTCGGTCGCCACAGTTGCTGCATTAACATCTTGTACTGCGAACTGCACTGCTGAACTACTTAGAGAATGATCTTTCAACTGAAAGTCAAACACCTGTCTTGCTACGTTCACGAAATCTGAAATGATACAAGAATAAAAATACGTTTGACTGAGGCTGGCAGTAAAATAGAGTGGGACTGGAGGCAAACTGAGGCTGGCAGTAAAATAGAGTGGGACTGGAGGCAAACTGAGGCTGGCAGTAAAATAGAGTGGGACTGGAGGCAAACTGAGGCTGGCAGTAAAATAGAGTGGGACTGGAGGCAAACTGAGGCTGGCAGTAAAATAGAGTGGGACTGGAGGCAAACTGAGGCTGGCAGTAAAATAGAGTGGGACTGGAGGCAAACTGAGGCTGGCAGTAAAATAGAGTGGGACTGGAGGCAAACTGAGGCTGGCAGTAAAATAGAGTGGGACTGGAGGCAAACTGAGGCTGGCAGTAAAATAGAGTGGGACTGGAGGCAAACTGAGGCTGGCAGTAAAATAGAGTGGGACTGGAGG